CCCACGGGGGGCGGATTTGCACGGCACCGACCCCCCCCCCCTCCCCCCCCCCCCCCGAAAAAAAAAAAAACTCACGCTCCAAAAAAAAAAAAAAAAAAAAAAAAAAAAAAAAAAAAAAGCCTACAAATCCTAGCTCTGCTATTTATTACCTAAGAGGATGCTGGCATTTTAGAGCTTCCCTGTAGGTCCTTTCCCTACTTAGAAGCTGGGATGCCGCATGAGTATTAACTGATACCACAAGTAAAAGTATCTGACACAGGCTAGCACACTGTAGTTGGAATCATTTTAAAACAAAGGAAACTCTTGTAAAGTCCTTCTTAGAGAGACAGATCCTTTTTAAGGGGAAGACATAAGACAGACCGCATAAAATTTGTGTTCAGGGCAGGGGCTTCATGCCCAGTGTGTTGAGAATGTGGGGGGAAAACCTCCTGGAGAGGCATGTGTGGAAAAGTGGGATTTTATGAGGGGCACAGGGGAGTTATATGTGAGTTATGAAGGAATAGAAGCAGGCGGGGAGGACCATGCTTCATGGGAATAGAGGGCCCAGCATCAGGCATTATGAGGAACCATGTATCCATCCATCAGCCTGTCTTACCATGCCAGTGGGAGGGCAAGCTTGAAATCTGAGAGGGGCAGGCTCTGGCTTGGCTGTGAATGATGGGCCAGGAGTTCGCAGGCACTTTCTGGGGGTGGCAGGAGAGAAGTGATGAAGGGTTCTGGGACAGCTGGTGGTTCCAACTGACAAGATAATGGAGTGAATAGTGGGAGAAAAAATAAAGGAGAGGAAGGAAGAAGTCCATGATAAATCCACCTTTCACGGACAGTGGAGAAAGATAAACTTTCTTTCTTGCCGTTAAAGATGGCTTTTCCCTCTTTCAGTTTTTCAAGTTCATTGAAAGTGACACTAAGTTGGTACTCTGCTTCCCACTTTGCCCCCTTTACTGCGGATTTCTTGATCTTTCCTATGGGGAACCTTCCAGCTCTTTTTTATGTCCATGTTCATGGGTGTGGGAGATTATGGTGTAGAACAGCTCGTGCTGGTTACAATCTGAAGTTAGTGCAGGGCAGGACTAACTGGTTCCTTCAAAGACCAGCTCAGCCCATATGCCTGGTGTGCTCCTTCCAAAATGCCAACCCAGTGTTTATGCAAATCACTACTCTGTCTCTCTTATTCTCTCCCTTGTACTTTTAACTTCTTCGTTTTTTTTTTTTTTTTCTGTAAGTGCTTACTATTCAACTTCCACTGTAGCAGTGCATTTACATTTGTAATATTTGCTTTACATGTCATGTAGGTATGAATTATTGTCTACATTGTATTGATGAGAAACCAAAGATTCAGAGTATTTAGTCAGGATTAAAGTCAGCCTGCAAGTAACATTTATTTATCTCTCATTTTAAATAAAGTTCTGAAGCACACAGTGCAGGGATAATTTGATGGCTGGCCCCATGAAATTGTTAGGGATTCAGGCTCCACCATCCCTAGAGGTGGCCCCCATCCAAAAGAGGGGCAGCTGGATATAAATCCAGCTACTGTATACAAATTCCAGGCAGCAGCAAGAAGAAACAGATCAATAAAGGAAAAACTCTTACACAGCTGTCACTTTGACCTCACCAGCTGGAACCCAGTCACATGGCCACACTCAACTTTAAGGTGACTGGAACACATTGTCTTTTTTCCAAATGATCATGTTCAAGCTAAAAACAGGGGTTTCATTACTAAGAAAGAAGTGGATAGCAAATCTTGGGTGGCTCACATGTGTCTTGCTAGGGTCATAGACCAGCAAGGGAAAGAACCTAAACCTAGCTCTTTGATTTAAGGCCCCATACTCTATCCGTGACATGAGAGTGTCCTGAGGGGAACAGGTTTGGCACTGCAGAACCATAGCTGAAAGATGAGATACGCTTTCTGCCTTGAAAGACTGTAATCTTTGATAAATGTATAAAATATATAACTGTTAAACAGTGTTTGAGTATCAATGGAAGGAACCTGTATAGTAAATGCATTGGGAAATCAAATTAAAGAAGTATTTTCATGTGGGCTGGAGCTGCCTAAGAAGATTCCATGCATGCGGCTTTTAAGTCAGTTTTGAGGGCTTGCTTGCTTCATATACAGAGGGAATGGGCTCTTTGACTGGGAGCTTGTTGAAGAGATTGGTTTCTTATCTTTGGAGAACAACAAGATCCTCATGTCAGAGCACTTCAACTGATGTCTGAACTAAAATAAAATAAGCCTTTCTTTCTGCACAAAGATAATCTGAAAACTCTTAACTGCGATAACAGTATATATCCACAAACATCTCTTGTAGTAATAGTAGCTAGAATTTAATGAGCACTTATGTGCCCTGAGCCATCACATGTATCAGCTACTTACTCCTCCCACAGTCTTATGGGGTGGGACTTATGATGCTTCCATTTCACAGTCAAGGAACTGAAGCATACAGAGGTTTGGTAGCTTGCCCATGATCCCGTATTTGATAAGCATTAGAGTTAATGTTTGAATCCAAGCACTCTGATTTCAGATTCTGCATTCTTCACCACGAGGTTATATAACTTGCCCTGCAGCAGCCCTTGTCTCTGGAAACTTATTTTTTTAAAGCTGCGAACAGAATTGTTCATGCTCTCAGAGAAGTGATTAGGCTGGTCGTGAGAGTGATTTTGCTATTTGTTTGCTTGCTTGATTACGGGTGGGGCTATTGTGTCCAGGATTTCTACCTGACTCTTCTGATTTTAAAACAAAAATATGAAGACTGGAGTCCAGAATCAGTTTGTGGAAGTCTTCGTACCTTCCTCGGTTCTCATTTCTGCATTTTGGTGCATTCTGCGGTTTCCAATGAAGCTCTACTAAGCCGTGCTGCACAGTGCCAATGCGCGTGCCCTTTCTGATCCGCTTTCTGTTTTCAATACTCTAAAACTAGAACTGGGGTCAGCTCAAGACATTGCAGCCACTTCATCTTGTACCTGCATAGCTTCAGATACCACTTTATGGCCCTTAAATCAATAATGCTCGAGACATGCAGCTTGCAGACAGCCCACACTCCCGCATCCTTAAGCTGACCTGTAAAGAGAGTCTGCACCCATTCACCAAGCATTTGCTAAGCATTTGCTGTATGCCACACATTGCATTGTTCCTGGAGACACAAAGGTGAATGAGATATTGGCCTCAGACAGCTCATTCAGGGTAGAGGTTCTTAACATGAGGTCCCTGAATGGTTTTCCGTGTATATGTAAACACCCTAAAGCTGAACACAGTATGTTCATATCTGCCAAGATGCTCACGTTTTTCACAAGGCAGAAATTTTATGCTTTTCATCAAATCTTGTAAGGAAGAGTTTATCATCCAGAAAAGATTAAGAATCACTGACAATGTAGTTAAGAGAGAAATTTAAAGAAATAATCAGAACATAATATCACAAGTTCTGTAATGAGAGGCATGAATGCATTGCCCTAAGATTACTGAGGTGGGAGCAAACAACACCTTTGCATCTGGGGATGGAGGTTGCTCAAGGCTTCCTTAACAGATGATGTCATCTAGGGATGAGTAAGTTGGAATTTCCTGGAAGGGAAGCCAAGGAGAAAGGCATTCTAAGATGTGAACTCAGAGACCCAGCAGATCTAAGCTGTCTTGTACCAAGAGAATACATATCTAGATTTTGATGTTGAGTATACAGGCTGTAAGGATTTGGGTGCTGGTAGTATGAGATCCATGTAATCATGCCTAGGATTTTCTGGCTGGGTGGAGAGGGCAGCTACTAAGGACAGTGATAGTTGAAAGTGGGTAGTGGAGAGAAGCCCAGATATACCTCTAATACATAGCAGCAGGAATTTGACCTCAGGAGACAGGCTGTCCGCGCCTCAGAGAAGGTGAACTTCACATTTCAGCTTCCTTTTCCTGAAAACTGGGCTTGATATTTGATAAATAAATCATGCAATCTTCCCTTCACACCCTGCCCCAAATAAAAACATTCACTGTTACCACCACTTCGCAACCAGCCACTGTGGGCCCCTGACAATCAATTACCCACCGGAGATGAAATTATTGTTTAATGGCTCCTGGAATGGGCTCCCACTCTGACATTCATCACAATCAATAATGCATCAGCAGGGACAAAAGAAATTACGTGCCTCCTGCTAAGTGAAAGAGTCCATTTGTATGCAGCACAGCCCCTTCACACCTACCGAGCAGGCCACCACAGGTGGGTGTCCACATTACGGAGCTCCTCACTCCATGGAGATTGCTAAGTGGCCTCTTGGGTTTGAGGACACACACGACTACCCACTCATGCTCGGCTGAGTACAGGCAGGTCTTGTGGGTGTGCCAGAGATGGGCATAGTGAACAAGCAATGATGGTTGATCAGTTTATAATGAGCCAGTTGCCACTCTGCCTTCTCCTAGTTTTTCACTTTACATTGCATTTTCTCTGAAGATGAACAGGAAACAATTCCTTCTAGATATTTAATGGACCACTGGGTTTGGCTTTTGGTGAATTCTGGCTCTCTCACTTCCCGGCAGAATGACTACAAGTAAATCTTTCACCTCTTTGATTTGAGTTTTCTCATCCATAAAATGGGCCCAAATAGTACTGACCTTAGAAGACTGTTCTGAGGATTAAATGTTACTGTCACAGGATCCTTGGGGTGCTGCTTTTCAGGCTGGAATTCTCTGTGGCCAGTAGCAAGTGTCTTTGCCTGAGTTTACTCAGGCCTGCTGGGCTCACTTGGCCTGGCAGGCTGTGTTCAGTTACCACCATTGGCCTGGATCTCATGTCTGCCAAGTGTAAGCAGAGCAGCAAGGAGTGTATGAATGAGTGTGGGGTCCAGCCATTATGCACAGCCAGGAATACTGGCTGTGACAGAGCAGCTGGCCCAGGCGCCGGCTTCCTGTGAAGCTGTGGCTAGACCAGGTATACCACAAGCAGCTTCCATGGCTGGCACTGGGGAATACGGTTGTGCCCAGAAGCTTGGAGATGCCAGGAACTACAGAGCCCCAAGCAGGATGTCAGAGACCTGGCTCCAGGAGCTCCTAAGTCTGAGCTCCCTGAAAGGCTGCAGCTCTTCTCTTCTTTTCTCTTCTCTCCTTCTTGCCACCCACAACATGGCAAACAAGGAGTATGTTTCAGCCCTGTTTGTGTTACAGCTCTTAACCCCGCCAGTTGGCAGGCTTTTCTAAGTTTTTGTCTTGTGTCCAGGAGGAATGAGGTACGTGGACAAGTGGAGAGTGAGCAAGATGAAGAGGAGCTTTACTGAGTGACAGAAGAGCTCAGAAGACACCGGGGTGGGTAGCTCCTCTCCGCAGCTGGCTGTCCTGTAGTTCCCCAGAGTCTGGCTGAGTACAGGGCTTTTATGGTTCTCAGAGGGGGGAAGTGTGTGCCAATTGGTTCATGGGCAGCCATGGACAGGCCTGGAAAAAGTACCACAAGTTCCCACTCTGGTCTGTGGGACCAGCAGCCCAGTCCCCAGGCTTCAGGCCCTTCCTGGTGGGACTTCACTGGAGACCTGCCCCCTTCTGTCCAGCAGCTTATCTGCCTCCTGACCTATTCATGGAGCCCAGACTGCCCATGTCAAGAGGCACTTATAGGCCAGCACTGAACTGCTCTTACTTAGCACCCCCTTGGCCTTCCTTCTGAGCTCGTTGGCATCAATATCCAAAGGGGGCCAAGGTGGCAGGGGGCTGGGGTGTCAGTACTGCCCCAAGTGTGTGCACAGTTGGCTGGGCTGTGACAGTGCCTAGGCTTGTCCCCAACCTTTCTCTAAGATTAGAGCAAGTGCCAGGGAGAGGCCAGACAGTGAGAGCAACCATCTCTGAGCCTTTGGGGGAAGGAGGGCCTTCCGGGTCCCTGAGATCACAGGGAGGCCTGGATCCACAGCCACAACTTGGGCAGCTATCACTATGCCCAGGAGGACAGGACTCCTGGCCCCCGCTGGCTCCATGGAACACGCAGCCCCAGCCATGCCTCTCCCACTGCAGCTGGCATCATGGCAGTGGCTGCTCCTGATGGGCTGCCTCTGCCATCAATATATACATATGTGATAGGTATTCCCTTCCTTTCCAACCCATATTTGAAAGAATACTCTATAGATAGTGTGACTTACCCTGATATTGCTGGATATCCTGATATTGCTGATGGGTAAGGATAATCTAAATGACAGATCAAGAGAATAATATGCCCCCAAACCTTAGGGAGCTTCCATGCTACTTCAATCTTTATACATCAACAAATAGCATACAGAGATCATTTTACTATTAAAACAGCTCAGAATCATTTTAACCAAACAAGACACAAAGCCTCCTCTGTCTCTCTCCTTTATTCATCCACTCATCCACTCATCCATCCATCTATCCATCCATTTATTCATTCCTCTATTGGATTTTTGAGTGCTATCCATCAGTTACTATGTCAAGTCCTGAAAACATACAGATAAAATAAAAATATACTGTTTCCTGTCTCTCAGAACTTACAATATTGTGGATAAAATGTTCTGAGTAGATAATCTTAGAGTGAGCAGTGTAGCAAGTACCATGTCTTCTAGGCTAGGTGTGAAAGGCTTCAAGGAGGAGGTGATATGTGAACTCACCCCTCTGGAGAGGAGGCAGTTTGCTAGTGCACAAGATAGGGAGGTCCCTTAGGTAGAGGGGATGCATCTTACTGATTCTTGACCATGAATTCTCCAGTGAGTTTCTTACTTTTTTTCCCAATCCTAATATTTTGTCCTGTGCTCATTTTACAGATGGGTAAACTAATTTAAGGTAAGTTAAGTGACTTGTCTGAAATGATAGAGAAGTTGTAGATAAAGCTGGAATTGAAATTCCCTTGTCCTGATTTCCAGGCTTGGGTTTCGTTTTTCCTTTTCTATTTCTTTTTCTTCTTAAAAGTTATTTGTGGAGTAACAATTTTACTGCATAAAGTGATTTTTTTTCTGCTTTATGAGGTATAATTGACAAATGAAAAATATATATTCAAGAAATACGTGATAATTTGATATATGTTTATCTTGTGTAATGAGTGCCACAATCAAGTTAATAAACATACCCATCATGACACATAGCTACTTTTTCGCGTGCGTGTGTGTGTGTGTGTAAAGACACAAGATCTATTGAGTGGTAAAGACACAAGATCTATTTTCTTAGAAAATTTCTAGTAAACAATACAGAATTATGCTGTACATTAGATCTCCAAAACTCATTCATCTTATAACTAAAGGTTTGTAGCCTTTGACTGATGCCTTCCCATTTCTTCCATGTTTCAGACCTTGGCAACCATTGTTCTACTCTCTGTTCTGAGTTTGACATTTTTAGATTCCACATATAAGTTAGATCATACAGTTTTGTCTTTCTGTGTCTGGCTTATTTCACTTAACATAATGTCTTCCAGGTTCACTAATATCATTGTAAATGATAGAATGCCCTTCTTTTATTATAGCTGAAGAGTATTCTATTGTGTATATATACTGCATTTTCTTTATCCATTCATCTCCCAGAAGAGACATAGGTGGTTTCTGTATCTTGGCTACTGTGAATAATACTACAGTAAACATGGGAATTCCAGTATCCCTGATTTCATTTCTGAACTGGACCATTTTAACTTTTGCTGTTCCTCTGTGGGGACTTACATGAAAGAGCGGACTCATTCAACATCCATTGACCTGCATTGGGGTCTCCACCCTGCTAGGCTGTGGTGAGGGAGAAGTTAACAGAAGGACAAAAAATACTTCAAGGTAAGACACGCAAATAAATGATAGCAGTGCCACAGTAAGCTTAGAAGGAGTATAACAAGCACTGAGGACCATGGAGAAAAGAATGATTCACTTTTGGAGGAGAGGGGAAGGCTTCCCAGACAAGATGATATTTGAGGGGTTAATAACAGTTATCTTTCCTGTAATCTTCCTAGCTCAGCTCACTGTTGCTTTGAAGTAACAATAAATTCTAAGATGTTATAATTTTAACATCACCCCTGTTTGTCACTCGGCTGATCCCGTTTATGATGGGCTTCCTGACAGAGGAAAGCTGGGGTTTGCCCTTCAAAGCCTTCACAATTTCCTGTTCTCTCTTGAGCCCAAGTCTGAATGCCTGGCAATAGTGAAGCAATAGGCTTGTGTAGATGCAGGACTGTCTGCCCATATAGGAGTGTTTTATTGTGATTAAAACACGTTATTCCTTAAAACAACGATCTATAGTGGTAATTACATGGCAAAGTCCATCAGCTTTGTGCTCTGAAGGATGCAACATTATTCTTGGGAAACTTGATTGCTTGCTCTTGTTTTATAATCTTCGCTTGCACTTTAGGCTCCATCCTAAATATTAATAGAGAAACCAAGAATGAGACAGTGATAAATCCAAAATATGTGAATGTGCTTTACCTATGGGCTCCTCCTTCCTTGCAGAGTTGGGCAATGGGATGAGAAACTGAACCAGCAACATGTTAGACGCTTGAGAATGAGGAGTGTAAACCATGGGAACCTACTAAACAGAGACAGAAGCCCAGACAGATTCAGCCACATGCCACATGCCAAGGCAAAAATCTTCCTGCCTTCAATCATAACTAATGCTTCCCCTAGCTTCATTTTAAATTCATTTTCCCATTGGCTGAGCAACCTGAAATTTCGTCACTGGACATTCATTCCTTTGGATTGATGAGACCTCGTTCTAGCTGATTCTCTGTCTCTCCTTCTCCCTCTCTGTCTCCCTTGCTCTTTCTCAACACAAATATAGGATCATTTTGCTTGTAACTTACAAAACTCAAATTAAAAAGTACATTTTTCTGTAACTTGTTTTTCACTTAACAATATATCAAAAAAATCCCTCTGGGTCAATAGATATAGATCGAACAAGAACACATTATTTTATTAGTTGAAAAATATTTTATGGTATGAGTGTTCTCCAGGGTATAAAATCATTCCCTTATTGAAGAGCATTCAATTTATTTCCGTTTGTAGTCACTACAAACTATGCTGCAATAAACATCTTTGTATATATAATTTTTAGTACTCTGCCTTCATTTCCATGGGTGAGTGAGTTTTGGCGGACCAACCGTATGTATATTTTGGATTTCTGAGTTTTAATACATTTCTCATGTCAGTGTAGCTACTCACTGTAGTACAGTAGTTTGAGGGTGTATTACCCCTGCATTCTTGCCAACACTGGCTCCAGGGTCAAAGGACAATGATTATCTCAATAGATGCAGAAAAGGCCTTTGATAAAATTCAATACCCTTTCATGCTAAAAACACTTAATAAACTACATATTGATGGAATGTATCAAAAAGCAATAAGAGCTTTTTATGACAAATCTACAACCAATATCATACTTAATGGGCAAGAGCTGGAAGCATTTTCTTTGAAAACTGGCACAAGACAAGGATGCCCTCTCTCACTACTCCTATTTAACATAATATTAGAAGTTCTAACCAGGGCAATCAAGCAAGAGAAAGGAATAAAGATATTCAGATAGAAAGAGAGGAAGTCAAATTATCTCTCTTTGCAGATGACATGATTGTATATTTAGAAAACCCCATTGTCTAAGCCCAAAATCCCCTTAAGCTTATAAGCAACCTCGGCAATGTCTCAGAATACAAAATCATTGTGCAAAAATCACAAGCATTCCTATATACCAATAACAGATAAATAAAGAGTCAAATCATGAGTGAACTCCCATTCACAATTGCTACAAAGAGGATAACCTACCTAGGAATACAACTTACAAGGGATGTGAAGGACCTCTTCAAAGAGAACTACCAACCACTGTTCAAGAAAATAAGAGAGGACACAAACAAATGGAAAAACATTCCATGCTCATGGATAAGAAGAATCAATATTGTGAAAACGGCCATACTGCACAAAGTGATTTAACAATTCAATGCTATCTCCATCAAGCTACCATTGACTTTCTTCACAAAATTAGAAAAAAATACTTTAAATTTCATATGGAACCAAAAAAGAGACCATATAGCTAAGATAATCCTAAGCACAAAGAACAAAGCTAGAGGCATCATGCTAACTGACCTCAAACTATACTGCAAGGCTACAGTAACCAAAACAGCGTAATACTGGTACTGAAAGAGATTTATAACAAATGGAACAGAATAGAGGCCTCAGAAGTAATGCCACACATCTACAACCATCAGATTTTTGAGAAACCTGACAAAAACAAGCAATGGGGAAAGGATTCCCTATTTAATGAATGATGTTGGGAAATCTGGCTAGCCATATGCAGAAAACTGAAAGGGGACCCCTTCCTTACACTTTATACAAAAATTAACTCAAGATGGATTAGAGACTTAAACATAAGACCTAACACCTTGTGTAAGACCAATATACCTTATTGCCTAGAAGAAAACCTAGACAATACCATTTGGGACATAGGCATGAGAAAAACTTCATGACTAAAACACCAAAAGCAATGGTAACAAAAGACAAAATTGACAAATGGGATCTAACCTAAAGTGCTTCTGCACAGCAAAATAAACTGTCATCAGAGTGAATAGGCGACCTACAGAATGGGAGAAAATTTTTGCAATCTATCCATCTGAGAAATGGCTAATATCCAGAGTCTACAAGAAACTTAAACAAATTTACAGGAAAAAAACAAACAATCCCATCAAAAGGTGGGCAAAGGATATGAACAGACACTTTTCAAAAGAAGACATTTATGTGGCCAACAAACATGAAAAAAAGCTCATCATCACAGGTTATTGGAGAAATGCAAATCAAAACCACTAGGAGATACCATCTCATGCCAATTAGAATGATGATCATTAAAAAGTCAGGAAACAACAGATGCTGGAGAGGATGTGGAGAAATAGTTGGTGGGAGTGTAAATTAGTTCAACCATTGTGGAAGACAGTGTGGTGATTCCTCAAGGATCTAGAACCAGAAATATCATCTGACCCAGCAACCCCATTACTGGATATATAGCCAAAGGATTATAAATCATTCTACTATAAAGACGCATGCATATGTATGTTTATTTCAGCACTATTCAAAATAGCAAAGACTTGGAACCACCCCAAATGCCCATCAGTGATAGACAAAATAAAGAAAATGTGGCACATATACACCATGGAATACTATACAGCCATAAAAAAGAACGTGTTCACGTCCTTTGCAGGGACATGGATGAAGCTGAAAACCATCATTCTCAGCAAACTAACACAGGAACAGAAAACTAAACACATGTTCTCACTCATAGGTGAGAGTTGAACAACGAGAACATATGGACACAGGGAGGGGAACATCACATACCAGGGCCTGTCAGGGGGTGGGGAGCTAGTGGGGGAATAGCATTAGGAGAAATACCTAATGTAGATGACAGGTTGATAGGTGCAGCAAACCACCATGGCACATGTATACCTGTAACAAACCTATACCATGCACATTCTGCACATGTATCCCATAACTTAAAGTATAATAAAATTTTTTTTAAAATGCAAACACTTCTGCAAATGTGTTTTACTGGCAGTCGTATGCAATGCCTAAAATTTGTATAATGTTTTTGCAGTTGACAAAATGCTTTCTGTCACATATAACATTTCATCTAACCCCACAGCAGAACCTCAGACCTGAAGTGCAATGTGATATGCCCAAGGCCAGAAGACTATTTGATTTCAGAGTGACTTGAAAGCAAAATTGATTGTCCCAGGGCAGTTTCTCATAAACCTAGCCCTATTTTTACCTGTAGCTATAAATTATTTGATCTCAAGATGCAATGAAAAGCGTGGTGTGTTTATGCTTATGGCCTGGCCCTGCCACTGAAGACCTGGCTGTATTTGGGCAAGTTACTTCACTTCTTGAGACTCCAATTACTCTGTAAAATGAGGGATTAAGTTAGATGCTTTGCAAGTTTCCTTCCGCTTCTGAGAGTAAAGATGGAGCATGGCTGACTGATGAAGGCAAACAGGCATGCATGGAGAGGCCCCCGAAAAGGAATTTTTCTTTTTCTTTTTTTTTTTTTTTTTTGAGATGGAGTTTCACTCTGTTGCCAAGGTTGGAGTGCAATGGCATGATCTCAGCTCACTGCAACCTCTACCTCCCGGGTTCAAGCAATTCTCCTGCCTCAGCCTCCCAAGTAGCTGGGATTACAGGCACCTGCCACTACACCAGGCTAATTTTTGTATTTTTAGTAGAGATGGGGTTTCACAATGTTGGCCAGGCTGGTCCCAAACTCCTGACTCATGTAATCTACCTGCCTCAGCCTCCCAAAGGAGGATTACAGGTGTGAGCCACCGCACCCGGCCGGAAAAGGAATTCCAATGGGGATAGGGAGCACACTGGGCAACTCGAGAAAGGAATTTTTTATAATCATGAAACACAGCACAGACCACAAAGCTTTTTTTTTTTTTTCTTTTTCTCTGAGGTTGAAACAACAAAGGTTGAAATATGCCTAACATAACGCCTGGCACATGATTCCTTCCCGGTGTTCGGCACTGGGAGGAATGATTGAGTAGTTATAGTCAGGGTAGGCAGGAACTGGGGAAAATACCCAAATGATCTTGGAGCATGAGGTCATCAATTTCCTACAAATTCTGGCTTGTAAAAGTTTACAGTGTGCCAGGCGGGTTAGTGGCTTGATATACATTGTTCCGTCTGCCCTCGAGGATGGTCCTATTCTCTATGAGGATTTTTCTGGCAGATTCCAGATTCTCTGTTTTGTTGTTGTTGCTATTTTGAGACAGGCCTCGCTGTCACCCAGGCTGAGGTGCAGTGGTGCAATCACGGCTCACTACAGCCTCAACCTCCTAGGCTCAAGCCATCCTTCCACCTCAGCCTCCTGAGTAGCTGGGACCACACGCATGTGCCACCATGCCTAAATATTTTTTTTTTTAATGTAGAGAAGGGTTTTTGCCATGTTGCCCAAGCTAATCTTAAATGCCTGGCCTCAAGTGATCCTTCTCCTTGGCTTTTCAAAGTGCTGAGATTACAGGGCTGAGCCACAGCACCTGGCCGCTGGCAGATTCTTTAATAAGTCAAATACATCTATTCAACTTACCACTGAGGTGACTTTTAGAAGCCTCATGCTGAGGTCAGGTCAATGAAAACTCCTGGATATTTTTCATGCAACTTGATGTCAATTCAGCTTCACCTGTTCCATTAATTAAGAGTTTTTTTTTTCTGATTATAAAATAATTTATGATTTACTGATTTTAAAGATAGAAGTATTAAATGATTTACTGATTTTAAAGATACAAGTATTAAATGATTTACTGATTTTAAAGGTACAAGTATTAAAATGAGTATAAATAGACATCTAGTCATTAAAAACTTAAAAATATATACAACCGAGGACTTACTGTGTGTATATAATTTGGGGTCCTGCTTTTCTCCACTTAATGTTATAAGCATTTTTCGGCTCCCCTCAACATAGATGTAGCTTATAGACCATACATTCCCATTAGGTGCAGGTGGAGAAGCTGGAAAGAAAAAATATTTTCACAGACGTACATTATCTTTCAAAACAAGGAATTTATCCACTGTTGAAATGAGGTCCCTTGGATCTTAGTATCTTTGCAATCAAGAGAGCAATTCTTCCCCTGAGGGCAGGTGGGGAGAGTGTTGTGAAAAGGTCAATGGCAGTTTCCCCTCTGGGGACTGAGTCTGCCATTGGGAGAGGAGGCCTAGGAATTCCCTCTCCCTGACTACGTTTTCCTGATTGTCTTCAAGGAGACAAGATGATGGAATAAAGGCTGTTCACTGTAGGTGCCTTCTTGTAGTTTATTTCTTTATGAAAGATTTCAGGATGTGGGATAACTAGGCTGAACATGCATACCTTA